ATCTTCATTTAGAAGATAATTAAATAAGTTTTGATAGTGGCCGCATTTTTCTTGATCAAAATGAACTGGTCTTACCCACCATCTTCTATTTACTTTTGTTAATTCTTCTAATAGACTAGAACTCGTTATCATAAATAAATTCCAGGCCATTGAAAGATTTAAAAGTGCGTTTTGTAGACGCTTTAAACGTTTTCTTTTATTTCGTAACATATTTTACTCTTTCGTAATACACGTAATACACGTAATACACTTGTACTATTAACTCATAACCTGATGTAAAATGTAAAGTAAATTTTTTTTTTTCAATTTTTAGCTGTTCATACGATAGATGCTCTATTTTCTGATTGGCTATTTCTGGACAATTTTCAACCGCCATATATCCCAATGTAGATTAGATGTTGCAACGACTTACAACTTGCGACTGGCAACTCACAACTTGCAACTGGCAACGAGGCATTTGCAACTCATTGTAGAATGGCCCTTACACACGCATTGTCGCCATTTTGTTGTAGGGTGTCATGGCCGAAACCGGAAATCCTGCCGGCCTCAGCTCTTTTGACGAAGTTAGCGATCTGTGGGGATTTTGGACAGAATGTCGGTAGTCTCCCACTGACTACTGTCGGACCAACACAGAAAATTAAACAAAGAAGTTCCACTAATATCACATTTATTGAGTACGAGGTATACAGGCAAGTACTATCAACTAACTACGCGCGGGAGACTCTTTTTCCTCACGCCTAACCTGAATAACTGAAAAACCCTAGAATGGTCACTAGGCGGACGGACTAAACTTTTTTCGCGCCGCAGCGCTGGTTGTGGTATATAGCGCCACAATACTCCCCCTTGAGATAAAAATAAAATTTGAAATAAACATTTGCACGCTTAAACTTAAGATTAACTTAAAACTAAATTTTAACATAAATATTATTTTTGAAAAGACACAGTCTTTTTAACTTTTTTGGAAGCACCCGGATAAGTTTTTAAATCTAACCACACTTTCTCTTGTTGGCTGCTGGGTTCTGATGAAGGTCCTTGAGTAGAAGGATCGGTAGTTGTACTAGGAACAGCTGGATGATCTAGAGTGAAGAAAGCCGGTTTGAGTAGGTCTACTGCCACGTTGGTTATTCGTCCGTCTATGTCGATGGTGAAAACCCTGTTGTTGATTCTTTTAATGACTTGATGTGGTCCTGAGTAAGAGGCTGAGCACAATAAAAGGAATAAGGAACAGGGAACAGAGAATAGGGAACAAGGAATACTGGGAACAAGAAATTACGCACAACGGAGGAATAGGGAATAGGAAACAAGAAATAAAGTATGACCGACGAGCAGATTGTATTATTATTAAGTACATCGGTTTTGCAAATGGGATTAATATATTTACGAAATAAGGAGAAAAAAAGACACAAATTATGGAGAACACGTAGATGGTGGGTTCGTCCTATTAATCTTCAACGTGATCAGTTGGGTGATTTTTGCACGTTATTTCAAGAGCTAAAACATGACCCAGAACTATTTTTTCGATATTTGAGAATGTCAAAAGAGATATTCAATAAGTTGTTGGAAAAAGTGTCAGTGTATCTGATAAAAACTAGCCACAGAAAACCACTGCTTCCAGAACAACGCTTAGTAATAACGCTGAGGTAAATTGCATTACTTTTTTATGTATAATTCTCTTGCAATTTATAGAAGATTATTTATAACTTTTCAATTTATTCAGGTATTTAGCTGCAGGAGATCTACCTCTCTCTATCGCATTGCAATATCGTGTAGGAGAATCGACAGTGCGTCAAATAATCAGTGAAACATGCTCTGTGCTAATAAAAGTATTGTCTCCTGTCTATCTAAAGCCACCAAAT